AATAAAATTAATTTAACTTTAATTAAAATTAATGGTGGCACGACACGGGCACAGTGATCCAATTTAGAGATCGGAATTTTGAAAAAACCGGGTCCGGGAACCGGGAAACGGATTCTGAAGGTTGACCGGGAGGGACCCGGACCGGGAAAACCGGGAATTCCCGTTCCCGGTTTCAACCCGGTCAAAAATGACCGGGTCCCGGCCGGGAAAACGAGAAATTCTTAATTTGTTGAAATGGGGCTGTATTTTTCCACATGTTGCTGTATTTTTCAACTATCCCCCTTTACTTATTCTAAATAACCTTTATTAAAGTCAGTAGAGAGCGAGATTTTCAAACAACCTTGAACTTGATTTCGGTTGGGTACCTTGACCAGATTCTTGACCTTGAGAAGGATTTTTCTTGATCTTCAGTTAAGGATTATTTTTGCCTGGATCCAGGCTTTGATTCTTGATTTTTTATTTGGACAGATATCAGCAGATTAAGTGGGATTAAGTGGGATATACTGGTATTTAAAGGGATATTATAGGATTTAGGGATATTACGGGATTAAGTGAATATGGAGGAGGTTATCGAGGAATATAAGAGGATTTTAGACTATTAAAGGATATCGGTGAAAAGGGAGTACGAGTGATATTGTGTATTGGGCGATTGGAGGGATACCAGAGGATATTTGGGGATTAAAAGAGAGAGGGTGGACTTGTAACAGTTTATGGGATGGAAGGCCGATTCCTTTTCCAAAAGCACCCTTTATACACAAATTCAACTCGTATACAAAAAATTCAACTCGTAACCGTAGTCAAAGAAGCCAGAATTCTCCTGCCGCAGGCGAAAATTTTGCGAATTTTGAAGGGGCCATATTTCTTACTTTTCCAGCGCCGCAGGCGAAAATTTTGAGAATTTTTCAGATTTATACACTAAATATTTTTTCCGGTTTCCCGGTATAAAAATGGCCGGGACCGGGTCCGGGAAATGGGTTCTGAAAGTTGACCGGGAGGGACCCGGACAGGGAAAACCGGGAATTCCCGTTCCCGGTTTCAACCCGGTTGCTCCCAAAAAACCGGGAAAAATGACCCGAAAACCGGGAAACGGGTCCCGGACCCGTTCCGATCTCTAATCCAATTGCAAAGAGGGCAATTGCACAGTAAAGTGTTATTTATTCGCAAAACGACCTGCCCATTTATTCGCAATACGCCTGTTTATTCGCAAAACTCCAAATAAAAGCAAGGATCATTAACCTATAGGTCATAACTTCGTTCATAAGCATCCAATCAAGATGTTTTTGGGTCAGTCGACTCAAATAATTTGCATATTCGAATTTTTTACCCCAAAAAACAGCTTGGTCTCCTCTATTGTTTTTCGATTTCAGGAGCCTTGAAGACCTACACCCTGCCCCTTTAAAACCTCAAAATCCATCTATATCCCACAGATCCATCTACATATATTCCCCTTTTTTCCATCCGCATCCACCGATATCATCCTTTAATCCCTCCTAATCCCATTTAATCCCTCTAGATCCACACGATATCCCATTAATCCCTACAAGTCTCTTTTTCCCCTTTAACCCCTCATCGATTAAAATGTATAGAAATAACAGATAAAAAATTCGAGTTGATCAAAAAGTTGTATGTCTTCAGGGTAAATAGGTCTTCGGGGTGTAGGTCTTCAGGGTTGACCCCTATTTTCAATTAAATAACGAAAAATTGATGCAATAAATGCAATTGTAAAAACTGAAATTTTTGATGACAAAAATTAATGGTCGACAATCTTTTTAAGCTTCCATTCATTTGTACAGAATATTTTTTAGATTGAAAAAAAGGAAAAAATATCTCAATTAAAAATTAAAAATTGTCGAAAAGCAGCTAAAAATGAGGCGTTTTTTTTTAGTTTTTTTCACACTTCATAACACTTGATTAACCCTAAAGTTACCATTCTTTGGAATTAAATATAAAAATAAGAGTGATTATTTTTATTTAAAAAATTGAGTTATACAAAATTAAATTAAAGGCAGTTGTTAAGGCTTTTATTTAAATATTGGGTTGGAAAATCGAAAATACACAAGAAGAAGCCCCAATTTGTTTGTTTTAAATTTTTGTGAGAAATTTAAATTTTATTTTCAGGAAGAGAATTTTTGTAAATCGTTAATCTGAAAATATCGTTTTAAATGTTACTAATACACTCTGTTTCAAAATTATAAGCCACTAAATTTTTTTGTAATAACTAGATGAAAATCGATTGAATTTTTTTGAAATTTTGCCATAATGTTTAAATAAACAATACATATCTATCTGCAAAAAATAAATCACATCCAGTGTCTACAAAAAATTTTATTCCAAAAAATTCAATCTATATGTGTTTCATAATTATAGAGCCACTTTGAAATATCGAGTTTCTAACAATAAGAAAAATCTACAAAAATTTGAGCTAACATAACTATCGATTTTAAGAAAAAATAAAAAGAATCAGACCCATATCTCTCTTCAGTGTCGAGATCCAGATGCCTCGAAAATCAACGTAAATCGGGGGTAAGGCTATTTAAAAAATATTTTCGACCCCTTATGGTTTGTTTTAAATTTTTAATTTGGGCTCATTCGAAGGCCCGTAAAATTTGCTACAAGATAGCATATGTACGTCTTATTTACTAGAAATTTCAGTAAGTTATTAAGTTTTAAATTTCTAAGGCACAAAAACGCCCAAATACCCCATAAAGTTATCCCAGGAAGATTAACGTCCTGTATATCCCTTTTGAATTTTTTCTGAGATATATGAGTATTACTATCTTGTAACAAAATTTACGGGCCTTCGAATGAGCCCAAGTTAAAAATTTAAAACAAACCATAAGGGGTCGAAAATATTTTTTGAATAGCCTTACCCCTGATTTACTTTGATTTTCGAGGCATCTGGATTTCGACACTGAAGAGAGATATGGGTCTGATTCTTTTTTATTTTTTCTTAAAATCGATAAATGTGTTAGCTCAAATTTTTGTAGATTTTTCTTATTGTTAGAAACTCGATATTTCAAAGTGGCTCTATAATTATGAAACACATATAGATTGAATTTTTTGGAATAAAATTTTTTGTAGACACTGGATGTGATTTATTTTTTGTAGATAGATATGTATTGTTTATTTAAACATTATGACAAAATTTCAAAAAAATTCAATCGATTTTCATCGAGTTATTACAAAAAATTTAGTGGCTCTATAATTTTGAAACAGAGTGTAAACAAATAATTGTTGAAAAAGGCAAAAATTTTTGGTTAACAAATTTTCCAACCCAAAAAGAGATTATGCATAGGATTAAAAATTTAAATTTACATTTTTAGTGGAAAGACTTAAGTGAATATAAATTAGTATAAGTAATTTTTTGAGCATACGAATAAGTTAATAAATTAGTTAGGTCTATTTAAAAGACTTAAATTAGACTCCAATCGAAAAAGAAATTTTTTTGAAAGAAAATTGGCTGTTTTTTGAATATTTTTTGATACGGAAAATAGACCCTTTTTGTTACAATAATTTCAAATCACTACTTAAAAATAAGTGCCAAAACGACCGTCACAAATGTCAGAACTAGAGCCACGATTGATACAAAAGCAATCAGATACGAAAAATTTGTTTTGCATAATCCGAAAGATATGAAAATTATAAAAAAGTTTTAATCGAAAATACAAAATTAAAAAAGAAAAACACAAAATTTGTTGTTAAATTTATTATTTGTAATAAAAATCGGTAAATTTCGGAATACTAAACAGAAAGCAAATGGGTCAAACCATATGTCATTCGAAAGAGCTCGTCGAGTTGAGTCGAATGGCGAAAAAAATTTCGTGCGGACTCATACAGGGGCTGAGATATAGTCCCCCAAATATCGAAAAACCATAGGGGGGAGTAAGCTAAATTTTGGGGTGAAAAATTCGAATATGCAAATAATAGCTCATTCGAAAGAGCTTCTCGAGCTGAGTCGAATGACACCAAAATCAACGAAATTCGACTTGATTGGACAAAGTTATGATCTTTTATTTTAGCTCCTTACCTATGGCATCTGTGGAGATTTTTGCTGCTACGGAGGCCCCAAATGCGTCCAGAGCAAGGGAGATAGGAATAGGTTTATGTTACGAGCCCAGACCCAGCGCCCGTAGACTCCCCGCGAGGCGCGTGCCGCAAAGCCAAGCGCGAAGCGCTGGGTTTTGCACAAGCGCCTCGCCGACTCTCCATAGGTTTATGTTGTTTGTTTTTATATTGTAACTTTGTCAAACCTTTTACGATCAAGCTGATTTTGGTGTCATTCGACTCAGCTCGAGGAGCTCTTTCGAATGAGCTATTATTTGCATATTCGAATTTTTCACCCCAAAATTTAGCTTACTCCCCCCTATGGTTTTTCGATATTTGGGGGACTATATCTCAGCCCCTGTATGAGTCCGCACGAAATTTTTTTCGCCATTCGACTCAACTCGACGAGCTCTTTCGAATGACATATGGTTTGACCCATTTGCGTTCTGTTTAGTATTAAGAAATTTTTCCTAAAAATCTTAAAGAAAAATTTAGGTCAGATCCAACCCTTTTGTTTTATAAAAAAGGGAAAAAATGGAAATTCGAAAAGAATCGAGTTTTTTAATAAATTTTAGTCCAAAAATTAATTTATTTTGATCTGGTCCTTTTATTTATGGACAATCGAATTAATGAAGCAAAAAAGCTACAAAAACTCTTAAACAGAAAATTTTGTTTAAAAATGGCCAAAATTTTAAAAAGCCTTATATTATTTAACCCATTACGTAAAAACCCGCCACATATTTTGTAAAAATGTGAAGATTTTTTCAACAAATTCTTTGGAATGAGTAACAAACTTATTCCATAATACCTGAAGATTGAAATTCAATGCTAGATCCAGTTTCTTCTCCATTTCAGCATTTTTCTTCTCAATTTCTGCATTTTTCTTTTTCAAATCATAAATTTCTATAAAATGGAATAGTCAAAAGCAAAATATAAAAAATATTCGCCTAAATTCTTATCTTAAAAATTATTCCCCCCCCCCCCCCCATGAGGAAAAGCGAAAAAAATCTGGTGTAACCAATGTGTGTAACTACATAATTCTCTTCAGAAGTTTTCTGGAGACAAAGGATTGCAAGATTTATATGGGCGCACAGGTGAGTCAAAAATTATCAAAATAACCCAGACCGGAAAGAATTAAAAGTATAATATAAACCTTTTATTATCTCTGTATCTGTGATAGGTACACCAGAATAATAGATAACATAAAAAACTAAAAAAAAAATAAATTTTGGTTAGAAAAAACAAAAGAATACTTTGATCTTCCCAACCGTCAACTGGTTCATAAAAACAAGTTTTATTCGAATCCATTCTTAAATTAAAAATATAGGTATTTAACTTGTCTTAATGATCCATATGAAATTGCTTACAAATGTTGAAGCCAAAACTCTTCTTTATAAATAAATCTAAATTTGCGGACATTTTTTGCGGACAAATTAAAATAACAGAAAACAAAATTTAATAGATATAATCTGATAGTGAAAAATCTTGTATCTTAACTCAGGTGCTAGAATAATGGAACTTGGATCTAGAAACAAGAAAAAGATTAATGGTGCTGAAAAAGGAAAGTTAAAAATGCGCAAAAATTATTTTAGGGTTGTTACTCGTAAGGTAACGGCAACGAGGTAATTGTTCCTATTCCCCGCAGTTAATCCTATCCAGTTTACTCAATATTTACTTCCCGACTACTGACACCTTTCAATCGAAATTGATGGGAAAAACTTTGAGTAAAGAATGAGTTTTGGCATCAACAAAACTGATCCAATATTGATCCTTAAAGCCTACAAAATTTTAAAAATATACAAAAGCTGTCGAAACAAGCCGGATGATGGGCATTTGTATCGCAAACCAATAGCTCCTGGAAAGCATACAGTCACTGTATCAAATGCCAAAGTTCCATTAAAATTAGTGGGTAAGATCATCATTCCATCATTATTTAAATTTGTTGCAATGTGGACGTCACGAGACTAAAAATCATTTTTAAAATGTATCGATAGAATTATTAAAATAACCTTATTCAATTTTTTGGAAGGCATTATTTAAGAAGTGATAGAATAAATATTTGTTAATTTTTGATAAGTCTATAATGTACAAAAATTTTTTATAGAAACTATTATATATATAATCAGAAATTTATGAGAAAAATATCAAAAAAATAAAATTAATTTTAGGAAAAATTTTCGAAAGAAAAAGCCCAAGCAGGGTAACTTCAACTAACTATCTAGTATAAAAAAGATCGAATCGATTTTCTCATCGTCTTCTCCTGTTTCTACACTCTTCATTTTCTCACTCTCACTTCTAATCGGATTAGTCGCTAAAAAATATTTTTGTCCTTTCCTTTTTAGGCTTTTTGATCAGAAAACGCAAAATATTGTCATTTTAGTTACTTTTCAATTCGGTAACCAGGAGAGAAATATCACATTGGTTACTTTTTATTGTCACCTTGTTTTTTTGCCTGTAAATTTGTTTTTAGATTTTTTACTTGTTTTTTTTCTGTAAAGATATTTTTTTCTAAAATTATAAAATTTAGATTATTTTAATTTATTATAAAATAGATTATCCGAATGCCCAAGTCAAAAAGAGATAAAATCGGTTTTGTTTATTTAATAAAAATGTTATTTTTTTCTTTTTAGTTTCTTTAACTAAAGTCAAGAAGAAGACAAAGGAAACAAAAGGCAAACTTATTGATGAGGTTATTTTTTAAAATTAATTTTTTTTAATTTCTTCTTATTCTAGGTACGTGAATGCCTTTTAAAATACAACAATCTTTTTGTATTTTCAACCGCCAATTTACGTTCTAATATTCTTATAAAAATTCGCCAACATTTTAAACAAAATTCTCGAATATTTTATGGAAGAAACGGTGTTATGGCTGTTGCTTTGGGTAAAACGCCTGAACAAGAAGTTGAAAATGGATTACATCAGGTTGCTCAAATGTTGAAAGGTCCTTGTGGTTTAATGTTTACAAATGAGAAGAAAAGCAATATTTGCAAGTAAATAATTTTAAATATTTATAACAATAAATTTTCTGAAATTATCACATGAATAGTTAATTCGAGAAAAGTTCAATTTTTCAGATTTATGAATTAAAAATTTACTCTGCATACGTTTAACAAACACTAATTTTTTTTATCAATGTCTGAAAAAATGTTGAAAATTTTTATGTGAGATTCCAAGTCCTTCCCACACTCTTTCTGAATCTTTGACTTTACTATTTTTTATTATTAATTGAATTTCATTTTTTTTACTTCCTCAGGTTCTTCGACCAATTTTCCGAAGAAGAATTTGCACGTGCCTGTGATTTGGCGCCTTTTGAGGTTGTAATTCCTGCGGGTCCAGTCCATGTTGATGACGATGGTGAAGATGACGAAGAACATAAAAAATGGGTAACAGGCTCTTTTGAACCACAACTACGAAAATTAGGCCTTCAAACACATTTAAATAATGGTTTTATTTTTTTAGAAATTTTATTTTTACTTTTTTAGGAAAAATTGAATTGTTGGAACGTTTTGTTGTATGCAAAGAAGGAGATAAACTTTCTTCTGATCAAACAAAAATTTTGCGGCATTTTGGACGTCGTTTGGTTGAATTTAGGTTTTGTTTATTTTTAAATTAAAAGTAAAATAATTTCTCTTTTAAGAATTACACTTCTTGCATTTTGGTCAAAAAAGAAAGGCTTCAAAAGATTTAAAGAAGCTGTTGAAGACAACACAGAGAAAATGGATGAAAATTAAAAGGGATTGTTTTACTTTTTTGTTTTTCAAATATTTATGCCCCAAACAAAATTAAAATAATAGAGTTAAATGGGTTTTTGGGGCATTTGTTTTTGTTAATTATTTTTTATTTTATTAAAAAAGTATCTCGATTTTAGTTTATTTTTCTTTTTGTTTTTAATCATTTTATATCAAAAAATTTTTTAAATTTTAAATATTTTAATTTAAGATTTTACAAATAGATGTTCGCAGAACTTAAATTATTAAATCCCCTTGTCTTTAGAGGATTGAATTGTCGAAATGTTTCAACTCCAACAAGTTCAAAGGGTGGTCCAACAAATTTTTACAAGTAAATTTTTAAATAAAATTTTGTTTTTCTTTTTTTTTAATTTTTAGACAAACATCTTCTACTCCACCATTCAGCCAGTCACCAGCATATTTTGGTCGGGACAGGTCTTATGATCCTTCTTTACTTATTCCTGCCTATATTCCCAGCTATTATGATAGTCAAAGGTTTCTCAAAATACAAAAAATAATTTTTTAAATTTTTTTAAATTGAAGGTTTTTACGCATCAGAAGATTCTTTATTTTGAGTGGAATAATTCCTTTAATAGTTTATGGATATTTTAGGTTAATTTTTTTATTACTATAAAATAAAATTTCTTTTTAAGGGAAGAGCGTGACGTTGATGAATTGTGGGAGTCTGATCAAAGATTAATTATTGTTAATTCGCGAAAACAACAAACTTTGGATCTTATTAAAACCTTTAAACAAACGGGAAGGAATACGCGTGAATTGGAATTACAAATGATTGAATTGCTGGTTAATTTTTTAAATTTATTTATGAAAAACTTTTGGACTTATTTTTATTTATGTACATCTCATAATTAGCACATAAAGAGAGATAAACTCGAATTTTTAATTAAACAAATTTTTAATATTAACAGGCAAAAGAAGCAGAAATTAGAAATGTCATTCAAAAAGAAAAACAAAAGAATAATAAACAAATGGAGAAGAAAAAAGAAAATAGAAAAGAAGTTTTGGAGGAAAATGTTCCACAAAATAAAAATTCTCAAAAAGGATGGTTTTGGTAAAAAGAAATTTCTAAATTTGACTTTTTGTTGACTTTAGGGAATTTACAAAATTTAAATTATATATTTTTGGATTTTTAAAAAATATTTTAATATAAATAAAGTAATTCTTCATCAATTATAGCTCTTAATTTTAAAGCGATAGTGAAACAAATGAGCTGAAAATTAAATAATTCTGTTAAATAATAATTCTTTTTAATTATTTTGCAACCCCTTCACTAGAGCTGGTAATTAATTGAGAAATAAGGTCATCATAGAAACAACCCACTTTGAGAAAAAACAACTCACCCACCACAAACAACCCACATAAAGTTCAGAGGATTAAATACGACTCAAAATTTTTGTTGGGGTTTGAGTAATCCAAATATAAAAGATAACCCCCAATTCTAGTCAATTTTAATGTTAACTAAATTGGTTAAGAATTATCCTTTGTACCTGCACAATAGTTGAGAACAGAAGACATGCTAATGTAAAGGAAATCCGAACGTAGTGTTCATAATAAATTGGATTGTGACAGCCCTATTTTTAAATATATTTGAAAAAATTATTACTTTCTTTTATTTTAATTACAAAACACTATTAAAATAATGAGGAAGCAAAATTTAAAAAAATAACAGGGTTGCCAAGGCAAAAAATCCAAAAACAATTGTATCGATTTTATGTTTGGAATACATTTATTTGTTTTTATGAAAAATTAAAAATATTTTTCAAATAGTTGATTAAAATTTTAGATGGCAACCCTGTTTATGTTTAAATATTTTTTATAGATCATTAAAATGTTTCAGTAAGACGATTCAGCCTCACTAATTGCATTACACAGACAGAAAGCCACAATTACTCCAAATATCTAAATAATTCTTTAATTAATTTTTTTCAAATTATTTAATTGCCTGAATAAGAGAAATGACAATAGCTGTCCACATAACAACTTTAAATTGCATAGTTAATTCTTGAATTGATTCTTTAATTCGATTGTAGCAACCCTATAGGTAAACATAAAAAAGAAAATAAATATAAAAGACGAAAAACAAAAAGCTAATACAAAAAGCACAATGAACAAAAACATTTAATTTATTAATCGTTTTATAACTACCTCTCCATATCTGAATACTGTAGGGCAGCTGGCTGCTAATTTGCCGTTTCTTTTAGGTGGGCAACATGCGGGTGGGAATTCAGAACGGCCTTTTGTCAACTTTTAAATAAAAATAATTTTTAAATTAATTTAATATATTCACCCGATACCACCCACTTTGACTGAATTCTCCCAAACGCGAATCAACACCACAACATGCTTTCTTTAAATATATATTAGGATTTATTTTAAAAAATTATTCTTCAAAGTACTTCTTGCATTAATTTATCCCAAGCTGTTTTTACAAGCATTGCATCAGTTGATGATCTACTATTAGTTGTTATTGTTGTTGTCTTTTCATCACTTAAGAGTGTTGTTGGTGTATCTGTTCCATTATATAATTTAAGGGAGGCACGAAGAATTTGACGAAAATCTTTATCAAACATATGTGAATGCTTTAAAATAAAATAATTTTTTTGTAATTCAAAATTATTTTTCAACCATTGCAGCATAAATTCCAGCAGCAATTTCAATTGCTAAAATTAGCATTAAACAACTTGCATACTTAAAAAAATATTTTTTTTTCTAAAAATTAATTTAAAAAATTTACACAACAAAGTAGAGGACGCCATTCTTTTGCAGCTCCACAACAACCTTTTTTAATTTTAAAAATTAAAGATTTAATTATTAAAACCAAGTGAGGCAACAAAAATAACAGCAATTCCGCCAAATAGTAATAAATAACCAATTTGACGAACTGCTGTAGGTTTTGATGCCTATAATAAATAAATATTTTTTAAATTAATTCAAATAATTTACTAATTCATTAAGTCCATCATCTTGATGTTGAATACCCTTAACATGTGAAATAGCTAAAGCCAAATTATCAACAGCATATCTATCCAATATTAGCCAAACACCAAGAATAACACAAACTAAACCACAAATCTAAAATTTAATTAATAACAAACACTTCTCAGTAATAATTCAATAAAAAATTCAATGGATATTTAAATTCAATTTTTTGTCTATCGAAATTTCATTAATAAGAAATGGATTTAATTTTTTATAAGAATTAGTATTTGTATTTTATTTTAATTTAAACTAACCACAAAAGCTAAATTGAAGAGAAAAAGACAAAATTTTAGAGCCCGTGCCTTTTTAAAAGAAATATTAAATTTAAAAATAAAAATTTTATAAAAGAGATACCCCGCAACTGAGACCCATCAATTTTTAATTAAAATTTAAATTAACTCATATTTAATTGTTGTTTAACAGATTAGTTTACTAAAAATTTTTTAAAAATATTTAAATTTAATCAGGTTTAATTCATCACAATTTTTATGAAAGAGTGGGCAGAATCGCTGATAGAGATACTAACTACCTCTTTAGTATCACTATAAATAGGGATACTAACTAATTATCTTATTGTTCCATAAATTCAAAATATAAATAAAAATTGTGGAGAAAATGAAAATTAAGAAACGGATATGTCCATTAAGAAAATTTGAGGAGATAGGTAGATTAATTATATTTTTTAAGTCCTTAAAGGCTTAAAGGTCTCCAAGGAAATTTTTGTTGGAATTTAATTTATAGGTGATTATTAGATGAAAAAAGAATATTTTTTATGTTTAATAAAAAGATTTTTTCACAATTTAGATTGATTTTTTGGTAAATTAATTTCTAATTTAATAAAAAGCCATAAGGTGTTCACGCCTGCCATGATCATTAAAAAATGAACTTTTTTTCTTTTTTTTTGCAAAATGGTGTCAGGCGGTATTTAATGAAAATAAAAAAATAAATATATTTATATATAAATAATTTAAAATTAAAAAAAAAGAATAAAGTATATTTTTATTTTGCTAATAGATATTTTAATCAAAATTCCCAATTGCTTAATAATAAAATAAATCCCTCTCTTTAAATGAAGGAAAATAAAATAACTAAAAGATTGACATTTAATATTTTACTTAATAAATTTTTTTTCTTTTAAAGTTTAAAATTTGTAGCAAATTTTAAGAATTAAAAATAAAGAAACAATGTAAATTATTTTTTAAAAATCAAAACTTGATGGAGAATCAAAAACACCTAACAATAAATACCTAATTAATTTCCAACCTTATAATTTAACAATTTAAAAATATTTTTGTTAGGTTCATTTAATTTATTTAAATTTTGCGTGCCAAATGAGTGCTTTTAAAGAAAAATAAGAAAAAAATGTTTTCGAAAAATGAGAAAAGCTTTAATGGATTTAAAAGCCAAAAATAACAAAAAATTTGTCCTTCCTAAATTTGAGGGTGGAATAAAATAAATAAAATTCTTAAACATTTTTATGCTCGTTAGTATTTCTTTTCTTTCATTTTTAAAGTTAAAAATAAAAAGACTAAATATCATGTATATATTTTAGAAGAATGGCAACTGTTTCCTCTTTTTTGATTAAATAAATACTTATATTTTTATATAAATCTTTTTAAAAATAATTTAAAATAAAGAAATTTTGTTGCTTTAAAAGAGAGATTAATTTTGTTTTAATTGTTTTATAATTGAGAGAAAATATTTCAAGAAAAATTGAGGGTGGTAGGTAATGAATAAATATGTGAGGAAATGATTGATAATTATTTTATTTTTAAAAAGATTTTAGAAAATTATTATTTTTAAATAAAAATTTTAATCTATAAAAATACAATTTAGTAATTAAAAATATTTTTGATAACTATTATTTTTTTGTAAAAATAATTTTGGTAAATGAAAAAGAAAAAATAAAAGTTAAATAAAATATTCGTTTTAACAAAAATATTCCGATTTAGTGAAGGATTTGGATCCAACGGATGTGAATGGATTAGATGAGCTTGTAGTTAATTTTAACTATTTTTAAATGTAGTTTTACTACAATTTTTGGTTTTTTGTCCTAACAAATAAGAGAATTTGGAAAAACCATTCAGCATTGCTAGTTTATATTTTGTATGTAAACGATTTTTAACGGCACTAACTCAGAAACAAAAAAATATTAGCGAAATCAAAGTAAACTCTAATAAAAACCAATGAAAATAAAATATAATGCCTTGGGAAAACATATCTACATATAAGGACAAAATATTTAAAAATTAATTTATTTAAATTTGTAGAAAATTATTTTTTAATTCTAACAAAATAAGGAAAGGAGATATGTAATTAATAGAATATTTGCAATAAAATTGCTGAGAAATTAATAAAACGGAAGAGAAAATAAATATTTAATTTAAAATATTTTCAAAAATTTTTTTCTGATAAATAGATTAATATGATTTTTAAATATATTTAACTGAACAATAACTTTTGCTTAAATTTAAAAAATTAATTATAATTTAACTTATCTACATATAATTGAAAAAAGATAAGCTTTTAAATAAATAAAATGTTTTCAAACAAAATTCAAAAAAAGTGAAAGATAATTGAGATTTTATATTCAAAAAATTAAGGCACAATACAATTTTATAACAATGCATCGAGATCAACCATCAATGCTCAACAAACGTCTTACTCTAGGGTATAATTTTTAGTTTTTTTTAATTTCTTAAAAACGATGTTCTTTTTGCCAAAGAATCGTTTAAACATTTAACACAAGTTCTGAAAATTTTCTGATGCTTTCTTGTTTTAAAAAATTTATGAATTAAATTTCTCAACACCTCTCGTTTTATTAGAATTTTTAAAATTTTATTTTTACAATTAAGATTAGAAATAATAGCAAAAAGAGAGTTGTGATAGAAGTTACAACAAATAATTTAAAAATTAAAGTCAGTCCTCAATATGGTATTATTCGGCCAGGCTTATTTATGAATATTACAGTGATCGCTGAACCTATTTTGAATTTTTTGAAAGACGACCATATAATCATTAAAGTTTTTAATGCGCCAAAAAATGCTATGAGTGAAGTCAACATTAATTGGTTGGAAAATGCTCGCTGTTATAGCATCCGAAATCTCCCTATTAATTACAATAGGTTTTTTAAAATATTTTTAAACCATAGGTTCTATTCTTCCGTATTTATAAAAAAATAATTTTACTAATTAGGATTCAATTTTTTGGTGTTACGACAATTGCGGATACGCACGTGCAGATGCGACAATGCGGACGACAACTGCGGATGCGACAATTCCGGATATAAAATTTTAAGATAATTTAGGATTTTTAAAGTTTTCAGTGCCAAATCGGTTGAAAAATGATTTAGAACTTGTCAAAAGTCGGAAACTGACAATCGAGACTAGAAAATGGAATTTTTTTCAATAATTTTTAAAATTTTTAGAAAAATTTTAATCCGCAATTGTAAAATCCGGAATTGTCGTACGGAATTGTTGCATCTGCACTGCCTATGGTTTAAAAATATTTAAAAAAACCTATTGTAATTAATAGGGAGATTTCGAATGCTATAACAGTGAGCATTTTCCAACCAATTAATATTGACTTCACTCATAGCATTTTTTGGCGCATTAAAAACTTTAATGATTATATGGTCGTCTTTCAAAAAATTCAAAATAGGTTCAGCGATCACTGTAATATTCATAAATAAGCCTGGCCGAATAATACCATATTGAGGACTGACTTTAATTTTTAAATTATTTGTTGTAACTTCTATCACAACTCTCTTTTTGCTATTATTTCTAATCTTAATTGTAAAAATAAAATTTTAAAAATTCTAATAAAACGAGAGGTGTTGAGAAATTTAATTCATAAATTTTTTAAAACAAGAAAGCATAAGAAAATTTTCAGAACTTGTGTTAAATGTTTAAACGATTCTTTTTTTTTAAAGAACATCATTTTCAAGGAATTTTTAAAAAACTAAAATTATACCCTAGAGTAAGACGTTTGTTGAGCATCAAACGGCGCATTCAAGTAGTAAATAAAAATATTAAAGTGGAGTAAAAGTGTTTTAATACGACGAAAAGAATTACTTTTACAAACATCTGATTTATCTTGTTGATTTCCATTCACCCATTCTATCATAAATTGCTGTAGTTCCTGCCCAATGAAATATCCTGTACAAGTCACATAAATTAACATTTCTCTTTTTCCAATTATCATCGCAGTTTGGTTTAGAAATAACAATTGAAGATTCTGAAGTGATACAAAACCATATCTCGTTAATGCCAGTATTTCTTTTCTAAATTTAAAGTTGAAATGGTTTGAAATTTAAATAGAAATGTTACCTTTACAACTTGATGTTTATATGTTTGTGGGTTGAGAAAGATTTCTTCAGAAGGCCATGTTATTATTTTAGGAGGCGGAATAATAGCCATGTAGAAACAATTTATTTTTAAATAAAGAAGTAATTAAGATACAAAAATACTTTTCTAAAACATTGGAGAAAAATGAAAAATTTTAATGATGAAAAATCACAAAAAGTTAAAAAGAAGTATAGGTGAAATGTTTCGGTACTTTATGGATATGTCACCCCCCCTCCTATTTTGAGTCTCAGAGTTTTCCTTATGCGTAGAAAATGGTCAGAGATTATTTTCTTCTCCATGTCAATCATATACTTTTCTCTTTAATCTGCTCTGCAAAATTTATATTGGGCCAGGATTAGGGAACTGCAAATCGAAAAAGGGACACGCCCACATTGTCGCGACCACTTTGTCGCAGGCCACATTGTCGCAGGCTTTGTTTTGATTTTGCTCGCCACGTGCCGTATCCCACGGCCACAACGATGGGAAATTCGAAAAAGTTTTTTTTGTTTTTTAAGTTTTTATTTCTTTTTTTTTAAATTTAGTTGATTTCCGTCAGTTTCTGTTTTTGTAAAAATATTTTTTGGCAAGTGAAAAACAAAAAAAAATTTAAATATAATATTTATTCTGTTTTAACAAAAATATTTTAATTTTAGTGAAGGACATACATCCCACGGCAGTGTATGGATTTTAGTCGATATGTATTATTTTTTAAATTTAGGGTTAAAACAATTCTTGCCTTAAAGGTCTTTCTGGAATAACCATCTAGTCTGTTGTTATGAATTTTGGATAGTAACCTAAAACAAGGAAAGATTACAGCAATCAAAGAAAATTCTTAAACTAATGAAAATTCAAATATATTGCCTTGGGATATATAAAGACAAAATACTTAAAAATTAAAAAAACGGAAAAGAAAATATATAGTTTAAATATTTTTTTAAATTTATTTTAAAGTATTTTTAAAACTTTTACTCTGATAACTCGAATATTAATTAGTATGTAATTACTATTGTTTTTAAAAATATATTTATTTAACGATAACTTTTGCTAAAATTTTAAGAATAAATTTAACTTCAATATTTTTCTAATCCGTTTTTAATTTTTTTTTAATTTTAGAAAATAAAAAATAAAAAAGAGAAAATAAAAAAAGCAAATTAACTAGAAAATCAAGTTTAAATATTTAAATAAAAATATTTTTTTTCAAAATTTGCTTCTTTTTGAAATGAAAAAATTATTATTTTAGGTATATTTTAAGTGAAGAAGAAAGCAAAGTGAAAATATAATTGTGGCATTTTCGAATATTTAAATTAGAATATTTTTAAATTATTTTTTTAAAATAAAATTGACAAATAAAGGAAAAAAGAAAAAGACAAAAAGGGCAGGTAAAAAAACAAATAACAAGAAAAAAGTGTTGATTTAAAAGAAATTTCAGAAAATCTTCTACATTTTTTAATTAGTATATTTAATTCTCCTTTTCAAATCAACACTTTTTTTATTTTTAAAAATGTGGTTTTCCATAAATTGGCTGATGGGGATGTTGTGGTGGTGGAGGGCCGCCAAAACCTCTAGCAGCAGGATGTTGTTGGAAAATAGCATGAGGTGGTGGGGGCGGTGGCATTGGCCCGCCTGGTGATAATCTACTGCCTTTCATGAAGTGAGGCTGAAATTAGAAAAAATAAAATTATTTAAGAAACATCTACTACTATTTAAAGTTAATATCTATAAACATTGTTAATTAGGTGGAATAATATTATTTTTTAAATTAATTATAAACTTATACTAGCTTAAAACATTTAATAATTTTATATAAAAAATTTATTTTGTGCAAAAAAACACACACAGGTGGAATAGGAGATGGCATAATAGGCAATGGAGGTGCTCCAGGATGTGGACCTGGCATTAAACCTGGAGGTCCAGGAGGAAGCCAACCAGGCGGAACAAATGGAGAAGTTGGTGTTGGAGATGGAATTCCTCCCTAAATTTATTTAAAAATGTAAAAATATTTGTTAATAAATAAAAACATTTACCGCCAGAAAACGATGTAATTCTTGTTCTGTATCAACAATTAATACAAAAAATGGAGAACCTTTAAAAAAATTTTCAAAAAAAAATTCAAAAAAATTTCAAAAAATAATTAAATACCAGGAACATGCTGTCCATGCCATTTAACCTCAACTTGGTAATCACCTGGCTCTCGAGGTTCATATCTTTTTTTAAATAATTATTTTTAATATCAGATAACATAACATACTTGCAATGAATTGTTCTTTCCTGTTCTCTATCCCTTTGCATTTCTACATTAAATGCCCCTTTAGGGCCACGAACTCTAACAGTTAATTGGCCGGCACCGGCTCCTTTCGTTTCAACAACAAAATTAGATTTGAAACTGTGGAGGATTCCATGTTCAATACCCGGGCCGTAAACTTTAACTAAATTTTAGAGAATTAGAAAAAATTTCAAAAATATTGTTAAAATTGCCTTTTGAAGGGTCTGGTGGATGGTTCACATTGAATGTGAATGGACTATCTCGCACATGCTCATTTTCATATTTAACAGAAAGTGTATGTTTGCCTAATTCTTTTGGTTGTATACGCAACATATACTTTAAATAAATTAATTTTTTCTAAATATTTTTTAAATTTTTCCTCACAGTTCCATCTCCATTATCCAAAAGTTCACAATATTCTAATTGACTTGTACCCGAACACTGTGCAGATATTTGACCTGGTCCAGCTCTCCTAGCATCTATTAATGTTTGCATATCTTCCCCTAAAATTCCCATTTTTAAAGGACGTCCATCTACTTCAATTAATTGAGCTGGAGATATTTCAGGGGCTTTTACATTAACCTAAAAAAGAAGAGAATATTTAAAAGAAAAAATTTAGGTATTTTTTACTGACAATGCTTGGAGATCCAGGAACATGAGTTCCATCAATTTTAACAGAAAGTTGATATTTACCATCAACCAATGGAGTATAAACACCCTACAAAATATTTTAAATTTTATAGAAATTCCTATAAAATTCACCTTATAAACTTGATTTCCCAAAGCACTCAATTTAACAGGAATATCAGCCCTATCTCCAAGTAATGTTGCTGTACATTTACCCATAGCATCCTTTCTTAAATTGCTAGCATCTAATATAAATTCTGCTGGTTCTTTAATACGTGCTGTTGTTAAACCAGAACCTCTTAATTTTACCTTAAAAAATTTTTTATTTAATTTTAAATATTCTTTTACATTTCCCAAAATTAATTCTTTTCTTTCAATTATTTCACTTTCTGCTGCTTCTTCAACAACTTCCTTATGTCTTCTTTGCCGTTCTCCATTCATTTCTGATACGTGTGTTGGCATTTTATTAGATTGTTCAGCAATTGCAAGTATTGGGTAAGCATTTGGAACAACCAATTCTTTAAAATAAATTTTTTAATAATTAAAGATTTTTATTATTAAAAATATATTTTTAGATAAAATCTTTAAAAGTTTAATTAAAAAGATTTTTATCTAAAAATTCTAACCAGAACAATATAAATAAATTTTATATTTTCCAGATTTGCGAGGAGTAAATAATAATTGGAATTTTCCATTATCCAAAGGATGTACTTGTGTTTGTTGTTCTAAAGGTAATAATTCCCCATCGGCATCCCTAACTTCAGCTCTGATTTTTGCTTTAAAAATTTTTTTTCAAAAATATTTTTCCCCTTTTTTAATTACCAGGTCCAGCCTCACTACAATCCAAATTAATAACATTTCTTTGACCAACAAATAATTGTAACATTCCATCTGGCCTAATAATTTGTTTTCTATCATCAGAAATAATTAAAACTTTTGTTGGGTCAACAACCGTTACTGGAAATGGACTCCCTAAAAATTTAGAGAATTTTTTTCGAATGATTTTTAGAAACAAACCATTAACTAAACGATTATTAAATTCAATATTAACTTCATATATTCCAATTTCTTGTGGTCTAAAAGCAATTTCTGTTGTTTCATCGGGTCTTCTATTTGTTGTATAACGAACTTTCTCACCACTAGGACTTTTTACTTCAACCTTTTAAAAAAGGGGAATTTTTTGTTACTACAATCCCTCATAGAAATTAAATATCCCTTAATTTTGTTATATTTTAATTCTTGTAATTTTTAAATTATTTTTCTTTACAATAGAACCCCAATAAAAATAATTAAGAAAAGCCACCTTTAACCCCCCAGGCTGTTTATTTGCATCAAAAATCATTGAAGCTTGCTGTGCCCTTTCAATTGAATAATCTAAAGCAGCACCATAAACGGTAGGGGAAGTTTTTTGTTCTTCCACAACAATTTGGAATGGAGAGGAGGGAATGGCAAAACCAGCTAAACGGACAGATAAACGATGAACACCGAGGCGTGTTGGGAGGAAAGTAAAGGAATCTTCACCGACAGAATTTTTAGTCTTTAAAATAGTTAAAAATAATCATTTATTTATTTACTCCTTTACCCTATCTAATTTTAATGTCTCATTTTGTGAATCAACTAATTCAACATTTAAAGCCCCATCTCCTGCTGCTTTTCGAGAAACTTTAAAAGAGAAATTATATTTTCTCAATTTAAATATTTATTTACCAATAAAATTAGATAATGTCCTTAAAGAAAATGGACGGTCTATACCACGTACATAAACCCGTTTTGGGTCTATTACTTCACAGAGGAAAGGTGAACCAATAAGAGGTTCATCACCAAAGGTAACTTCAATACGATGTGGACCTTAAAAAATAAAATAAAAAAATCTTATGGGAGATTTAAAAATTAATTCAATTAATTACCACAAATTTCTGGAGTAAATTCAACCCAATAACTATCATCTTGTTGTTTATAACAACGAACAGGTAGTGGACTGCCTTGGGGATCTTAATTAAAAAATTAATTATTTTTTAGAAATTATTTTTTAAATTAACTAAAATAAGTTAGTAAATTCAAAAAAATCTAAATTAAATTTAAAAATATTTTTAAAAAAATTATACTAATAGTTAATTTGGTATAAAATGTTATTTTTGGGTAGAAAATTAAGAAAGTATAGGTAAAAAATATTATTAAAGAT